TTTTTTTTTTTTTTTGGGGAAGAGAGTCGGTGGCTTGGGGGGGCTTATCAGGGGAGAAGAAGAAAATGAAGATGAAGAAGAGCAAAACACGTGGCTGAGGAGAGAAATATCAGCCTTGATCCTTATCCTGATTTCCTTTCTTTTAAGTCCTTGAACTTTGAAAATATTTGCTATTAAATTTATTAATAATATTTCTTCACAATTAGGTCCCTAACTCACTTTAATGCTCTAGAAATTTTGGGGTATTACAGACAAAAAGGGGGAGAAAAATATGCTGAATTTAATGTCATTTTCTAGAGTATCTTGTGCTAAAATTATGGTTAATATTGAAGTATATATGTGTTTTCATTAATTAATTGTCAAAGTGTTTTGTCATCATCAAAAAGGGGGAGATTGTTGTACCTTTGATTTTGATAATTATAAAACACATTTGAGTGACTAATTGGTTTATTTAAGTGTGTAGTTAAGTTACTAAAAGATTGCAAGTAAACTTAGATTGCACTAAAAATAGATCAAAAGGATTCAAAATGTGCAAAGAGTCGGCTCTGGTGAAATGGAAGTGCAGAGAGCCGGCTCTACGGGCAAAAATTTGAAGACCATTGTTTGGCGGGCGCGGAGAAAAGACGCAAAGCCGGCTTCAACTTTATAGCCGGCTGTGAGGGCGCATTTAATGCACAAGGGTCGACTCTTTTGAAGAGTATTTAATGTATTTAAAATCGGAATTTCAAAGCCGGCTCAAAGTCTTGCAGTCGGCTCTTGAGGAAAACAGAATGGCCTACAAACCCAGATAGCCAGTTCTGGAAGTGTAAGCCGGCTTTGAAGAGCCGGCTTTCTTGATAGTTCTGCAACTCGAGCCATGCGTTCTGCAGAGCATTTAATGATCCCCAACGGCTAGAAACGACTATTTTCGAGCAAGGGGTTATAAATATGGTTGGTAACAGATATGAACAAGTTTAGAGAGCATTGTATTGAATATCTTTACCTACCAACTTGTGCTTTAACTTGAGATGTTGATCTTTGAGAGATCTTTATTTGTAATCCTCTTTTTGTTCTATTTGTGAGTGATCTTGGGGGTGTGATTAATCCTTCAAGAGTGATTTGTAGAGAGGATTCGTGGGGTTTAAGTGTAAAGGGGTGAGATTTGAGAGAAACACCCATCTTCTTGTAAAAGGATTGAATGGCTCCTTTAAGCCACCCTTGTTGTTGTTAGTGGAGAGTGTGGAGGAAATCCTTGGTGAGTGAAGCCAAGGTAGAGGATTAGGTTCCAAGTGGTTGGACCGAATCTCTATAAAATCATTGAGTAAGCTCTTCTTCTCTACTCTCTTTATTTTTGGTTTTGTGGTTGCAAAAAGGGGAGAATTTTTGGAACTCCAATTCACCCCCCTCTTGGAGTACATTGAGTCAACAAATCTTATCCAATCATTATCATTATTATTTATGATTTTATTAAATAAAAAATTTAAAATCTTAAAAATAAA